AAGCCCCCTACAGAGATGCAAAACAAAAGTTTTCTCAGAACGTTGTAGGCTAATGTCAGTTTTTGGTCATAATCCAAATTTGGCAGCCTGAACGTGTAATATATCAATGACGATCTTCTGGATGCCATCAATGAAACATCTTACTTCATCAAAAATATATCAATGACGATCTTATTGTTAGTGTTCTGAGCAGTAATAATGGTGACAAATTGATAACACATTCTTCTGATATATAGCTTGAGCAGAAGAATATTTTTTTTAAGTGGCTTGTCACCTGACTCCTTGACCACTACCTCTGTTGCAGTTATAGAAAGGTTTGAAGAGCTTGAGGGCCGGAATCCTGGAGAAACTTCTGCTGATGACCTTCCAAATGTTCAGAAGATGAGAAAGGAACTCTGTGAGGCACATGTATAACCCCGGAATCTGATATGCTCATGTATATAAGTTTCATTCCTTTGCTCGAGGTTGTTAACCTATATTGCCATTTGATTACAGTGCTTAAACGAATCTCAGATCCCAGATTCTCTTCTGCAAAGATTGATAGCAAGTAGAAGCGAATTTCCTCCTGTCTGCGCAATCATGGGAGGAATTCTTGGACAGGTAATTATGCCACTGTTGTGTTGACTAGAACTTTTGGACTTCTTTACTAATGTGTTGTAATTCTCTTCCTTTGCAGGAGGTGATAAAAGCAATATCTGGCAAAGGAGATCCTCTTAAGAACTTTTTCTTCTTTGATGCCATGGATGGTAAAGGGATAATAGAAGATATATCTAATGTCAACAGCTGAGGATGGTATGACTTAATGATAGAAACCGTCTTTTAGGGAACGCTGACCTTTCTGGGGGTGTCTTTTAGGTAAACCATATGACTAATTACAGCTAAACTTGTGGACATTCATTCAACTTAGAGTTCTGATCAGCAAAATTTATGATGTTTTTGACACTTGGGACCATCAGTTGAGGGTTCACGTTGTTTAATATTCTGAAACATGCAGTATTATCTCATTTTCAGTTGTCTCTGTTCTCTCTAGATCTCTAGGCATGTTAAGTTTAGGGACGACAGTATGGCGGTTCAGGTTTGAACCTATGCGGGGCCTGTGCGGTTGCGGGGCGGGTTGACTTTAAAAAAATATTTACGGGTGCGGGTTCAAATCTGTGCACAAAATTAAAAAAGAGATGAATCTATTCTACACAAATGCTATGGTTTTATTGGTGAAAAAGTCTATTGCTGGCTATTTTAAAATTCAACCCCTCCCTTCGAACACACCACACGCCCACCCTCCAGAAGAAACTAAAAGCAGAAGATAAAATGACAAGTATACTTTGACAATGCAAGTAAACGCCGACAATTTTCTTCTAAATAAAGTTCTTTTGATTTGTTTCATCTTTGTAATTCATCTACATTGATTATTTTCAGTTTTTCTTTTTTTT